GCTGTGAATTAATTGTATTTAAACTTTTTTTAGTTTTTAATAAAAAAAAAAAAAATTTTAATTTTTTCTTTTTTTTTTAAAAAAAAATAAAATAAAATTATAAAATAAAATAAAAATTTTAAACAAAAGGTGTTATTGTTTTAATTAAATATTCAAATAAATTGATCAATATTTATTTTAACACAAATAAACACTAACACACCAAGCACACTCACACATATAAAAAAACACATAAATTAACCACATGAATATAAAATAAGTTTTGTTTGTTTGGAAGTGTATTATCCTAAACTAAATGATTAGTATAAAAATACTAAAATAATGTTTAACATTTAAGTTAATTATTTTAAAATAACCTAAAAGTGTATAATAGTTGTGATGATCATAACTATATTTTTTACATGATTTTTTATTTTTAAATAATACAAACCATAACTGAAAATGATATTTTTTTTAAAAAAACTATTATTATAAAGGATTTTTAATATTGAATATTTATTTTGAAATAACAGCATTTTTTTCTAAAAAACATTTTTATCAATTGATTTAATTAATTTTCTGACAAAAACAACAACAATACACTAAAGTTTTCTAAACCAAGAGTTTTTTTAAAAAAAAAAACAAAATAAAATAGTAATATTTTAATATTTCTATTTAAATACAATAAAGTATTATTTTTGACAATTGTAGAATCTAAAGTAAATATATAAAACCCTGATTAAAGTGGGAGTTTAAAATGCCACCACCAAAATAATAAAAAAAATAAAAAAAATAAAAAAAAATAAAAAAAAAAATCAATTGAAAGTCATGGAAATCTAAAAGCTTTTCACCATACTTAATATTTAAATTTAAATTAATTTTACAAATTTCTCTTGTTAAATATATTTGGATGATCCAAAATTTGATAATAATAACAAGAATATTCGCAATATATTCGTCTTTGAAAAATTAAAAAATTAAAAAAAAAATTAAATGAAAAAGTGAAAATATAAAAAAAAAAAGAATCAGATTATTTTTTATGAAAAATATTAAAAAAAATTAAGAAAAATTAACGAGTTTTGATGAAAATTTGAAATAGGATTTACACATACCCATTGTTTTTAATTTTTTTTCCCTTCTTTTTTTTTTTTTTTTGTTGTTGTTGGGTGGGGTTGGTTGTTATCTATATTTTATTTCTTTTTTCTATTAAATCAATATTATATATTAAATTTTAAATTAAACTTTTTTATATAATTATTTTTATATTTCAAAACCTTTATTTTCTTCAATTTTACAATATATTGTGTAAGTAAAGAAAAATTGTGGGGTTTTTTTTTTTTTTTTTTTTGGGTTTTTACATTTTTTTTTTTTTTTTTCCAATTAATAAAAGGGTTTTTATTAAAATCAATAAAATTATTGATAATAATACAATAAGATAATTTTTAAAAAATCAAATTAATAAATTAATAAAATTATCAAATAATCAAATAATCAAAATAATTGAATAATTATATAATTAAAATAATATAATTGCAATTAAAATAATAAAATAGAAATAAAAAAAAAAAACGCACCTACGACACAAGCTGGTTAAATATCTCAAAAGCCTAAAAATAAAAATTTATTTATTTTTTTTAATTTTTTTTTTATTTAACTAATTATTTCGAAAAATAAAAAATAAAAACTTTTTTTTTTTTTTTTTCTTCAGACAGGCAATATTTGTAGTAGAAGTCTCAAAAAAAAAAAAAAAAAAGAGTAATATCATCTTTTAAACTCATTATATGTATATTATTATTTAATAAAAAGGAAAACGTATTTTATATATTTTCCATTTTTTAAAAAACCGATTAAAAATAAATAAATAAAAAAAACAAATCCAAAACCGGGGGAAATCACTTTTAATAATAATAATAGTAATACTAATAATAATATACATATAAATAAAAAATCATATATATTACTAAAGTATCAGATCATTTTTATTGTTGGCATTATTCTCAATGATCCTTTTTTTGTTTACAATGGTTTAAGGTGTTGAATACCTTTTCTTTTTATATTTTTAAGTAAAAACTAAATGCCATTGGTAGAGAAAAAAAAGCCATCATTAAAAATGATAAATTAAATTTAAATACATGTTTCATAAATAAAATAAAAAGATTTAATAAATCATTTAATCATCAACCAATCATAAAAAAACATGTTCGAACTTAGTAATATATATGTATTATGTGTGGTGTGGTATTTTGCGTCAATTGGTTGTTTTGTGTGGGTTTTGTGAATTCATGAAACTCATTAAAAGGTTATTATTTCATTTTATTTTAGGTTTATTCTATTTATTTTATTTTATTTTTTTTATTTTTTTTTGTTTTTAATGTTAAAAAAACAAATAAGGTGTGAAAAACTTTTTTTTTTATTTTTTTCTTTTATATTCAAGATTAAAAGGAAAAAATAATTTTAAAATTGTTGTATGATCATATTGAATTTTATAAAAAAAAAAATAAAAAAAAAAATAAAATAATAGAAGTAAATCACGAATAGTAATCTTATTTTAATAGCAATCCACATAAATTCAACATATCAAAATTCTCACATCCACAACACACATAATCAATATTATCATTTAATCAATATTTTTTATAATAAATACGAAAAAAATCCATTTTTAAATTGTTTGTTTTTTTTTTATTTTTTTTTAAATTAAATTATTTTTTATTTTTTTTTGGTTTTTTTTTCTTTTTTTATTTCCCTCAAAAAAAAAAAAAAAAAAAAAAAAAAAATTTTTAAAGTTCGTTCGTTTTTAACACTTTTATTTATTTTTTTTTTAATTTTTTTACCATCTGTCTTTTCAACAAACTTACCGAAAAAAATTTATATTTCTCTTATATATATAATTCATTTTATCTATATAAATAAATTAATAAATTTAAATCAACGTTCATCTCTGTCATCTCCTCCTACTCCTGACGTGACTTGTTGAATTTGAATGACTCGCCAATCTCTAACTCAAATCTTTATTGAAACTTGTTATCATTATATAATACAAAATTAATCAATAAATAATAAACAATAACAATAAAATAAATAAATAATAAATAATAAAAAATAAATAATAAACAATCACTTTAATTAACAAATAAATAAAAACACAGATAAAAAAAAAATGCCATCGCAAAGTGCTAGTTCAAATAATCAAACTACTACATCATCTCTACCAGGAATGAGTATTATTGGTAATACATCAAAGAAGATAAAGGATAATTATCAAGTTATTTCTAAAATCGGTGAAGGTATATCAGGGTATGTATTAATTTATTTTAAAACGTATTTTTTTTGACATAAATTAAACCTTTTTTTCTTTTTTTTTTTTTTTCTTTTTAGATCTGTTTTTAAAGCCATTAAAAAAGATACTGAAGAATTGGTCGCTCTAAAAAACTTTAAGGGTTGGAGCGAAAACGATAGAGCCTCAAAAGAAGAATGCACATTATTACTTCAATTAAAGCACATTCCATATATAACACCAATTATTGATATCTATACAAACTACGAAACCAGCGAATATGTCATCGTTTTCCCTTATTTCGAACATGATTTATCTGGTCTTTTAAGTGAACATAGACTTTCAATTCCTCAAGTTAAATGTTATTTCAAACAATTATTAGAAGGTATAAATGAAATTCATAAGAATGGTGTTATGCATCGTGATATTAAAGGTAATTATCCGTTCAATTTCGTATTTTTTACTTTGTTTTTTTTTTCAAGATTTACACACCAATTTCGTTTTTTTTTTTTTTTAATTTTTCCCAATTTTTTTAATTTTTTTTTTTGATTTTACAATTTTTAAATTTTTTTATTTTATCCAATTACTAAATTTTTTTTTTTTTAGCTGCAAATTTACTTGTAAATAATAAAGGTTCATTGTTTATTGGTGATTTAGGTACTGCTACATCTTTTGTAAAAAGATCAGTTTTCTCAAGTAAAGTTGTTACCTTATGGTATAGAGCACCAGAGTTATTACTTGGTGCCACTCAATATGGTCCAGAAGTTGATATGTGGTCTATTGGTTGCGTATTAATCGAATTAGTAACTTCACGTAACTTTTTACCAGGTTCATCAGAACAACAACAACTCGAAGCTATTTGTAAATTATGTGGTACTCCAACCGAAGATATTTGGGAAAATGTTTCACATTTACCAAACTATAATCAAATTTCACATTTACCAGTTTACCCAAATAGATTAAAAACTGTATTTAAAAAGTAGGTATTTTTATATAAAAAATAAAATTAAAATTATTTACTAATCATTTTTTTTTTTTCTTTTAAAATTAGCTTTACACAAGATTTTATTGATTTATTAGAAGGTTTATTAACATTAAATCCAAAGAAAAGATTAACAGCAGAACAAGCTTTACAATCACCATTTTTCACCAATTCCCCATTACCATTTAAACCAGAAAATATGCCAGGCTACCAGCCAATTCATGTTTTAGAAGCTGTACAAAAAAGAATGCAACAACAAGAAGTTGAAGCCAAGAAACAAGAAGAATTAAAGAAACAACAAGAAGAGCAAAAGAAACAAGAAGACTTAAAAAGACAAGAAGAACAAAAGAAACAAGAAGAGTTAAAAAGACAAAGACTAAAGAAACAAAAAGAAGAACAAAGACAAAAAGAACTTTTAAGAAAACAACAAGAAGAAGAAATGAAAATAAAATTAGAAAATGAAAAAATTAGACAAGAACAAGAAAAAATAAAACAACAACAACTTGAACAAGAAAGAATAAAACAAGAGCAATTACAAAAAGAACAACAATTAAAAGAACAACAACAACAATTAAACAACAGAAATTATTTAAAAAGATCTTTGGATTTGGTTCATGATATTAGAAACTATTGCACTAGTGAAACCGAAAGTGAATATGAAAGTGAAGAAGAAGAAGATCAAGAAGATGAATTTTACACTGAAGAAGAGGTCGAAGACTTTTCAAGCGATGAAGATGAAGATTATTATACCCATACCAGTCTTTACACTCCAATTAAAGCCATGATCCAACAACACAACCAACAACAACAACAACAAGATTCAGTCTCTTTAAATCCATTCCTTCAACCACCAAAGAAACAAAGAACCACTTCATCATCTAGTTTCAATAATTTATCAGCCCCACTCATCATTCACTAAACCAAATTGTTCTTTTTTTAAAACAATTATACTTTATGTTACATTCCAACTATTACATTTACATATATTAAATAATCATCATATTATCAAAACATATAGTTATTAAATAGCCAGAATTTCCATTGTATATTGTTTTAAAAATATAAAAAAAAAAAAAAAAAAAAACAGAAAAAAAAAAAAAAAAAAAAAAATAATAATCAAATTGCGCCCGCTTATATTATATAACTTAAAACCTTATGTAATGTATATAAATTCTTAGTCCGTCAGTTCAATTGTCCGATGCATAAATCCATTGGCCAATATAAAATTTTTCCCTCCAAGTCAATATTGTCCCTGTCCGTTAAAAGTCCACCTCTCAGTTTTGCTGCTCCTTTTTCTTGCTTTCCGTTTTTTTCCCTGTAGTATTATTCGAGTTAAATCAATCATCATTTACTCTCAAATATATCAAATTTTAAATATTTTTTATTTACTACTTTTAGTTAAAACTACTCAGCTTGCAAAAGCTCCATTATCTTAGCCGATTATGGATGTAAATATGTATACGCACCCTCACCTCCTTTTTTTTTATAAATATATATAGATTAAAAAAGTCTAGCGTTTGGGTTTTTTTAAAATCAAAAATCAAAACTAGGCTTTATCCTTTGTTTTTTTTTAAATTTTATTTGGTTAACCAATTAACATTTGGTATTAACTAATATATTTTAAAAAATGTAACAAAAATAACCAACAACCAACAAACCAACAACAACAAAAACCCCCCAATCATGCTTCCTCTTCAATTTTTTTTCAATATTTTTATCAACTAATCAATTTATAATAATCGATTTAAAATTTAAAATATTATCACACTTTATAAAATTTATTTTTTTAGATAACATATTTTTTCAGTATATATAATAACAGAAAATTTAATAACAAAAAAAATTCATAATTTTAATTAATAAAGTTTAAAAAATAGAAAGAGATGAATTGATTCACTTTAACTTAAAAAAAAAAAAAAACCATAGTATTATTTTTTATAAAATTTTTTTGTAACTAAAATTGTTTATTTGGGATCCTATTAATATATTTATAATAAACCAGTTGAATAAAATAAATTAAAATTTTGTGTAATTACTTTTTTAGAAAAAAAAAAAAAATATTTATAAAATGGTTTATAAATGTACAATAATATCTTCTTCGGATATTTTTTGGGGTTTATTTGGTTCCGGTTGATTCTGTTGATCTTGATCATTACTATGGTTATGGGTTGAGGCTTTTTTAAATACAAAAGCTTTATATATTCCTAATGCTTCCCATTCGGCTTGAGATACTGTATGATTTTGATTAAAGCAATTCATTTTTCTTAAGAGGTCATAATGGGATTTTGATTTTTCATAAATAAAGTCGTGAAAATTGGATTCTAAAACTAATTCTAATTGGAACTCTTTTGCCATTTCAACTAGGACATCCATGTGGACTAAATATTCTTCTAAAAAGTCAATTGCATCTTCCAAATAAAATTTATATGCGCACCCGAATGCTGAGAATGTTGGTTCTTTATCTTTAAATTCGATTGAATAAACTTCATTACCAAATCTATTTGATTTTGCCTCTCTTAGTTTTTTACTATTTTTTACAAATTAATATATAGGTTAGTAAATATAAATGTAGATTCATAAAAATTATTTTACTTACACAATTAGGCAGGCATTTGGAATTGTACCGATGAAATAACCACCATCTTTTAAAACTGATGAAACATTCTTTAAAAGTTGCATGGCACTTTCTCTGGTTCTAAATGAATAATGCAAGGCAAATTGGCAACTGACCAAATCTACTTTTAAAAAACTATTATTATCGAAACTATCATAATCTTCACTGTCACTATCATCGCTTTCGCTATCATCGCCATCATCTTCGTCTATATTCTTTTTCTTCTTTTGTTGAGATTTTTCTTTTGGGAATGATTCGAGCAGTTTTTGTGAGAAACAGTCCACAGCAATCATTTTAATATCAAAGTGAATATGGTTTAATGCCTGATTGTATCTTTCTACGCCATGTTTTAAAGATTCTAAAGATATATCTGCAACTACTAAAGATTTGATCTGTGCTTTAATCCATTTCTGTAAATCGCCTAATTTACCTCCGCAAATATCGAATACAATTGTATTTGGTTTTGAATATTCCTGAATAAGGATTGATTTTACCCAATTATTTAAGTTTTTTAATGAAATGATTTTGCTTTTTGATCTTATATGGATAGGTATATTTTGTTTATGGTCATAATGTGATTTTACTATTTCATTTTGTTTTCTAATATATGAATCATTTTTATTGTTATTGTTATTAAATCTATAAGGATTATAATTGTTCTGTTGTGTATAGTTTTGTCTTTGTCGATATTGTTGCTGTTGCTGTTGGTTTTGTTGTCGATATTGCTGCTGTTGCTGTTGCTGTTGCTGTTGTTGGTTATTAAAAAAATTATCGTGTTTTTCGAAATTTGAAAATTGTTGTAAATATTGTTGTTGATTAGAATTATCAAATCTAAAACCATTATTATTTATTTTTGATAAATCATTACTTTCATCATCGCTATTATTATTATTATAATTATATTCGTTTTGGTTCGACGTCATTATAAATGTTTATTTTTTTTTACTATTTTTAAAATAATTTTTTGAAATGAAAGAAAATTAAAAAAAAAAAAAAAATGAAAAAAAAAAACATTTTTTTAAATTTTTTTAATTATTATTTTATATTTAATAAATACACACTTATAATAATTATATATAAATATAATATAAATATATATAAATATAATACAAATATATATAAATAAACAAATATATAAATAGATAACCACATATATACATAAAGCACCTATATTAGCGAACTAGTCAATTATCTTTTATCAATTATATTTTTATCTACTTCATTTTCTTATACATTAAATAACCTATTTTATATAAAGTTAAATAATTATAGTAATATCAATTAAAAAAGTAACTTTCTATCCTATTATGTTATTTATAATACCAAATGGTTTTTTATTTCAACAATATTAACAGTGTGCTACATGCACAAATAACACATAAACACAATATAAATCCTACACCCCATTTTTTTTTATTTTTTTTTTATTATTCCACAATGATTCATTATATAAAATCAAATATTTTCCTTTTTTATTTTTTACAAAATAAATAACATTTGCTGTTTAAATTGACCTTGCAATAAAAATTTTATTTGCATTGACTCATTTTTAAATTTTTATTTTTTTTATTTTTTTCCAAATTTAATAAATTAATTAAACGAATATAAATAAAAAAATCAATTTATTTTTATTACAAAACAACTCATATATTAATAACTATTTCTTTAGTAAATAATATAAATATTATACAGAATACAAATACTACAATAACAAGCATCAAAAATGTTTTTTGTTGATTGGTTTTATAATTTATTTTTATGGCTAGGTTTTTTTAAAAAAGATGCCAAAATTGTTATATTAGGGCTTGGTAATGCTGGTAAAACAACTTTATTGCAAGTATTTTTAATTTTAAAAAAATATTTATAGATATTAACTTTTTGTATTTTTTAAAAAAAAGACATTTATTAGTTCATGGTGCTGTTAAAGCACATAATCCAACACAAAGACCACATAACGATAGTTTTGTAGGTGTGGATAATTTAAAAAAAATTTTAAAAATAAAATATTAACCAAACTTATATATTACAGACATATGGAAATATTAACTTTACTGCATATGATTTAGGAGGTCAGAGTGCTTTAAGAAATATTTGGAAAAACTATACACAAGATCCAAAAACAATTATTCTTTTCATGGTAGATTCAACAGATCCACAATCAATTATTGAATCAAAGTCAGAAATTCATGATTTGCTTGAAGACGAAAATTTAAAAAATTCAGCAATTTTGGTATTAGGATCAAAGATTGATGCTAAGGTGTGTAGATTATTTTCGTATTTATTTTATTAAAATACTAATTTTTTATTATTATTTTTATTTATAAATAATAGGAAGCTATAGGAAGAGAAAGTTTGATAGACCAATTGGATATTAGAAGATTTGGCCTTGGTTTGAACAGACCTGATAGACCATTGGATTGTTTGATGTTTAGTTCGCTCAAAAGAGTAGGAATAAAAGAAATGGTTGATTGGTTAAGCAATTGTGTGGATATTGTTAATGCCAATAATTAAATAATCACTATAAATTCCCAGAAAAATAAAAAAAATAAAAAAATAAACAGAATGAAAAATTCAAATCCATATTTTTTTAAAATAAATTTTTTTTTAAAATTTAAATAAAATATTAATGTTTATAAATACTTAAAAAAAAAAAAAATTACAAATAAAAAAGTAAAAATAAAAAAATAATAAAATACGAAGACTATATAAACAGTACTGTAATTGCATTTAAATAAATCAACGTATAAACCATTTTAATCCTCTTTTTGTCTATTAGAATCTGATTATCTCACATACTATTTTTAGGGTATTTCAAAAAAAAAAAAAAAAATAAATAAAAAATTTTTATAAAATAAAAAAAAAAAAAAAAAATGAAAAAAAATTATTTTTTTATTTTTTATTTTTTTTAAAAATACTTTTATGTTTTTCTTTTTTTAACTGCTATAGCGAAAAAAGCTACCTAACTTATTTGTTTTTTTTTATTTTATTTTATTTTATTTTATTTTATTTTTTTTATGTGGTTGTTTTATTATAGTTGTGTATCATCTGACTTTTTATTCTCACTGTCATAACATATCATTACATACTATAAATAATAATTGTACAATTATTTTATGTTGTTATTATTATTGTTGTTTCATAGATAATAAATACACATATCCATCTCACCCACTCACAATAGTATTTTTCCATTTTTAATAGAAATCAACTAAAATAAAAAAGCACAAATCACTTTATAAATAGTCAATTTGTATCTTATTATAGCAATTTTATTTTTTTCAAACCATTAAACTTGTTGTAATATTGCATATTATAGCTATTTTTAGGTGGAAATTTCGAAATTGAATAGCAGCAGGTTTTAGACACAATAGTTTTATAGAAATCAAATATTTAGAAAAAAGGTAATACTCGATTTTTTTTTGTTTTTTTTTTTTTGTTTTTTTTAGAAATATCATCCATTTTATCTTTTTTTTTCATATACAAAATAGCACAGTTCAAACCCTCACCCCCCACAAAAATAAACCATATAAACATCATAATCGTGATACTTACAAAAAATCATATTATATATTTTGTTTTTTCTTTCTTTTTTTTTGGAATTTTTTTGTTTGTTTTCATCCATCTTCACAACCAAATCATTATAAAATCAATTAAATGGAAAATAAATATAAAACTCATATAAAATTTTATAAAAGATAAAATCAATGAAATTTTCCATATAACACCAAAATCATCCAAAAAATTGTTTTTTTTTTTTTTAAAAAAAAAAATATAAAATTCATCATGTTCATATTTATTATTATTGTTAATATGAAGCGATAAAAACAATAATCTATTAATAATAATAGTAATTGATAATAATAATTATAGTAAATAATAATAATAATAAAAAATAATAATCATAATAATAGTAATTATTATATTAATAAATTATTATAACTTTTTTTATTTAATAACTGTTTTTTTTTTTTTTCTAAAAATATCTCAAATAAATAATAAAATAATACAGTAATAATGATAAAATAATGCAATAAGAAAAAAATAATTTAATCTTATATATTTTAATATATCTATCTAATGATATTTATATTTCTGCATAACAAAATTATTTAACGTTAAAATGTATTGGTGTGAAAAAAAAACTATATCAGATTTATTTATCATATACCTTTTTTTATTTTATTTTCACACACCCCAAAAAAAAAAATAAAAAATATGCATATCTACACACACACACATACATTCACACCATCATTTCAAGAAATAAAAAAGCCTTTAACACCCCATCATATATAATGAAATAAATAAAAAGTGTTCTAAAAATATACAAAAAAAAATTTTAAAATCAAATTAAAATAAACGCACCATAATAATAATTACACAAACAAAATAGCAACAATTAACAGTTTGTGTGTGCGTGTGTGAAAATTATTTTAAAAAAAAAACAAAAACAAAATTCACTATCATTAATCTATTTATGAAAAATTTTTATTTTTTTTTTTTAAATGGTACTTTTCTGCTCTGTTTGTGTGTGTTTTTTTTTTTTTTTTTTTTAATATTTTTTTTATTTTTAAATTTTTTAAAATTTTTTTTTCTATTATTAAATAAAGAATAATAAATATTAATTTGGGGGTTTATTATTTATGTGTACATTATTGTCTACTTTTATATCAATTAATTTAAACAAAATATAAATTATTATTTTAAATATAATATCTTTGTGTATTTTTTTTTTGTATTTTTAATTATATATTTTTAAAATTTTTGTTATTTTAATTTAATTTAATTATTTATTTGTGTAACAAGAAAGATATCAATAGAAAAAAAAAAAAAAACCAAATAACTTTAAAAAACAACAATAACAACACCATACAAATTAAAAGGAGGAAAAACTAATTTTAAATATATTTTTCTTTTTGTTCATCTTTTAGTATATATATATAAAAATGGGGTTTTTTAAAAAAGCAAAAACATTCTTTTCATCACCAAATGAACAACAAAATGACCAAGAGCAAGCCGATAAAACAATTAAAGAGGAAGAAAGTGGTAAATCTGAACATTCAAATAAAATAAAAGATGATGGTGCAGATCATTCAGAAAATCATCAATCAAATGGGTTATTACATCCATCAGCATCAAATGGTCAAATTCATCAATCTACTTCAAATACAGATATAGCAGGTTCAGCAGTTTCATCAACTCCAGCAACCAAACAGTCACATTTAAATAATAATGATATTAGTATCGCCACTACTAATGATTCCTCTCTTACCACACCTGTTCCATCAAGTGAAAATTTACAAAGTTTACAAACAAGTGAAAAGAAATCATCTGAACAACAAGCAAGCAATACCCTATCAACTCCAAATAATACATTACCATCATCACCATCACAAACAAATATATCTGAAAGTAACAATAATAATAATACTACCACTACTACCAATAATAATAATAGCAATAGTAGTAATAATACAACTACAACTACCACCACTACTACCACCACCCCAGCAACTACCAATAATACATCACCAACTAAACAAAACTCAATATCATCAACACAACCATCCCAATCATCAACATCACTTTTAGTTAGTACATTAAGTAAATTTAAACTTAAATTAGGTGGTGGAAAGAGTAAAGATCACCCATCATCAGCTCCATCGACACCACATCAAAGACCACATAGATCTACATTAGTCATTCCACCAGGAAGTGTCCCAACAAATCAAAGTGGTCAAAAATCTACAACTCCAGAACACCCACCAGAAGAACATAAACCAGTTGAAAAAGAAGTTATAACAATTGCCACAATTACCGATTTCCCAGATGATTGCCAAAAGTTAATAAGAATTTCTGGTATACCCGAGGAAAAATTAATAAAAAATATACAAATTTTAGCATATGTTTTACATTTTAGAACTGGTAGATTTTTCAAATTAGTAGATGAACCACCAAGAGAACCAAGAAAGAAATTTGTTTCAGAAAGATTTAACGATGGTGAAAGCTTAGTTGAACATGTTGAACCACAAGTTTTAAAAAAAATGTATAAAGATTCTGATCAAGTTGGTAAAGGGTAAGTTATATTATTTTCAAATTTTCTCTTTAGTGTTTAAATATTAATATTTCATTTATTTTTATAAAGTGGTTTCGGAACAGTTTATTTTGCAAAAAGTACAAAAGAAAAGAGATTAGTAGCAATTAAAAAAATGCCACATATAACAAAGAGACAGCAACAACAAAATTACAGAGAAGCAGCAATTTTAGCGAAATGTGATCATCCAAATATTGTAAAATTACATACATGTCATATAGATAAAGACAGTAATTTATGGATTATTATGGAATTTATGGAAGGTGGTACATTTGAAGAAGCTGCCAAAGCATGGAAATTCAATGAAAATAATTTGGCTTACGTTGCTAAAGAACTCTTAAAAGGTTTACAATATCTCCATGAAAATGGTATGGTTCATAGAGATTTAAAGAGCGCAAATATCATGATGAGTGTAGAGGGTAAAGTTAAATTAATTGATTTTGGTCTTTGCGAGGACGTTCAAACTTCATCACCAACTCACATGGTAGGTTCACCATTTTGGATGGCACCAGAAATGATTCAACAAAAACCACATTCAACACCTGTCGATATATGGAGTTTTGCCATTTCACTTTTAGAAATGGCCAATCAACGTCCACCAATGATGGAAAGTGCTGTCAAGGCTATGTTTACTGTCGCCACTGAAGGTGCCACTGGTTTCGATGATCCAGGAATTTGGTCCGATTGCTTTAAAGATTTTTTATCACTTTGCTTAAAAATGGATCCAGCCGAACGTGCCACAGCCGCTGATTTACTCAAACACCCCTTCATTAAAAAAGCAGATTCAAGAGATAATATGGAAAATATACTTAAAAAGATTTTCCTTACAAATTCTTTAATGAACTCTGGTTTTTAAATAATAATAATAATAATAATAACAACTTAATTTTATATATAATAATAGCTATAAAAAAATACATCCATAAATAATAATAGATAATAATAGAAATATTAATCGTTTCATAGAATAACCCAACTTGACAATAACAACATTATCAATTGTAATAATATTTTTTTTTTTTAATAAAAAAAAAACAAAACAAAATAAATTTAAATAACAAAAAAAATCAAGAGATGGAAAAGAAGATTTTGTATCTAGATCTAAAAATAAAATAAAATAAAAATCAAATTTGTAATATCTTTTTTTTTAAAAAAAAACTATATATGGTTTTATTTTTTCTTTATTTATGCAGCCTAAAAAAAAATGAAAGTTTTTATTGTCTAATTTGTTTTAAATCTAACTATTTACAATTGAATTTTATTTAAGTTTATTTGAATTTTTGGATAATGTTTTTAATATTATATTTTCTGAAGATTCGTTAATGATAGTTTATTTGTTTATTTGTTTATTTGTTTATTATTACTATTTAATTTTAAAATATTGACATTAAAAAATTATTTTTTGGGTATTTGTTTATTTATGTAAAAAAAAATATTTATTCGACAACTAATTTATTCTTTGAATACATTGAATTGATTAAAGATTGTCTCTTGACCATTTCTAAATCCTTCATTGATTCTTTAATTAAATCTTTAGTTTCTGATTCGTTTTTATTTTTATTTTCTCTGAAACCAGTTGCAACTCTACGTAAAGCATATTCTCTAAAGTTGTAGCTTGAAAATTTATTTGATGCTCTAAGGAAAGAACGATATAAATGTAAAACAATTTCTTTTTGTGACATTATTACTTTGTAAAGCTTTTAGTTTAAATGAAAAAAATAATAAATATTTTTTTTAAAAAAAAAAAAAAAAATTAAAAAAAAATTAAAAAAATTAAAAAAATATTATTTTTTTTTTAATTTTTTTTTTACACGCAACGATTATCACCAAAAGAATTACTAACAATAGGAAAGAAATAAAAATAGAATAAATAATAATTATTGTAATAAATTAAATATATTTACAAAATTATGGTTTTTAAAAGAATTCCCACTTAATTAAAAAAATTAAATTATTTTAAAATTGTAAAAAAAAAAATTTTAAAAAGTGTTTGAAAATTTTTTTTTAATTTTTTAATTATCATTATTTTTATAAATTTTGCAATCATGAAGTTAGAGGAATTTTTATCACTATCAAATGAAAAGGGATTAAACTATTTCAATTTTGTTTTATTTTCATTGTCAGTTGAATATTTTTATTCAATGTATTTAAACTACAGACAATTTAAAAAATACCGTATTACAACTATACCAGATTATGTCAAAGATAAAATCACTCATGAAGAATTTATAAAATCGCAAAAGTATAGCAAAGCAAAATTGTAGGTATCATTATTATCAATCGTCAATCATTATTTATATATACTAATATTGCCTTTTTTTTTTTTTTTTAAATTTTAATAGGACCTATACAACTATAACAAATACAATTGGAACTCTTGTATCATTTTTATGTCTTTATTACCCAGTATACCCATATTTTTGGGATTTATCATTAAGAATAATCGAACATTATGGTTATTCAAATGAAGTACGTATTTTAACATTATTTATTGGTAATATATAGTGATATTAATTCATTATTCCCATTCAACAAAGATTTTGAGATCCATAGTTTTATTTGTTTTTGCCATTTTAATTTCATCAGTTACAGAAATACCAGAATCATATTATTTCCAATTTGTTTTAGAGGAAAAGTTTGGATTCAATCGTATGACCATTGGCCTATTCATCAAAGATAAAATTATTTCAACTTTATTAGTATTTGTTTTTGGTATTCCAATATTATCATTAATTATTTATATTATTAATTGGGCTGGTCCACAACTCTGGTTATGTAAGTAGCTAAATTAACAAAAGATTAAAGCTCAATTTACTAATTTAAATATTTTTATTATAGATTGTTGGGGAGTTTTAGTATGTATCACATTAGCATCTATTACAATTATTCCAAACTATATCCAACCATTATTTAATAAATATACCCCAGTTGATGGAGAGTTAGGCGAAGCTATCTATAAGCTTTCAGAAAGAGTTGGCTTCCCAGCCTCAAAAGAAACCATTTTTGTTGTTGATAACTCAAAGAGAGATGGCCATATGAATGCGTTAGTATAGGTTTTTTAAATTTTTATATATTAGAGATTATAAATATTAATAATCTTATTTTTTTTAATTACAATCAAAATATAATACAGATACTTTTATGGTTTGTTTGGTAAAAAGAGAATTGTTTTATATGATACTTTGGTTAAAGAATTAAAAAGAGAAGAGATTTTAGCAGTGATGGGACATGAATTTGGACACTATAAAATGTCACATTCTTTAAAGCAAATGGTTGTACTTCAATTTTATTTAGTTGGATTTTTATACATTTTTAGCTTGTTCATTAATGACAATAGTCTTTATCAACAATTTGGGTTTGAGTCATCAAAGAATTCAGTTTTCATTGGTTTAGTTTTATTCTCTTTGATCTATAGCCCAGTTGGCCGTATTTTCACTTTGATTTTAAATATTTTTTCAAGACGTTATGAATACCAAGCCGATAACTATGCTGTTCAATTGGGTTTCTTAGATTGCGAACACTTATACAAACTTCATTTCAAAGAAAACTCTTGTTTAATTTATGATGAATATTTTAGTGCCTACCATCACTCCCACCCAACTTTAATCGAAAGAGTTAAGAATATTGAAAAACAAGTTTCGCTATATAAAAAAAAGGAATAAAATATAAATAAAAGATATATACAATATAGTGTTTATATAGTATTTTAAAGAATAATAAAAAATAGCAAATTAAAAATATTTTTAAAAAGAAATTTTATTTTATTTTTGGTTTTTGGTTTTTGGTTTTTTTTTTAAAAGACATAAAGCCCAATCCATCTGCATCTTGATCTATATGATGTGTCGGAGCCAGATGTCGAGATCTTATTTCTTATTGTTTGATCGATATTGTTATTAAAGCTATTGTTTATATTTGAATTAATATAACGAACTTCATATATATTTGATGTAATATTTCCTAAAATTTAAAGAAAAAAGGTTAGGAATAAATATTAATTGGATAGTTTTGATAATATTATATAACTTACTTAACAAAGACATTTTTTTTAGATATTAGAGTTTTAAACTTGTCAATATGTTTAAAAAAATAAAAAAAAAATTCATTTTATATAAATCGAATTTGATAAAAAAAAATAGAAAAAAAAAAAAAAAAGAAAAATATTATTTGAAAATTTATTAGATTTAATTTAATAAAATTAATTAAACAAAACTTTATACTCATAAAAGTTTAAAAGTATTAAACAAAAAAAACTATTTATCTAATCTAAACCCACTCTTATAAAAAGCTAAAAATAGCTCCTTACTCAATAACTTTACCCCATTTTAAAAAATAAAATGGAATGTTTATTTGTATTCAAATAGTATTGGGGTTAAAAGTGTGGTGGGTTGTTGAAAATAAAAAAAAAAGGGTATAAAAATTATTTGTGTTAAATACGAATTTTACAAAAAAATAAAAATAAAATTTAAATTTACATTTATTTTATTTATGGTTTGAAATTAAAATGTTTATTCTATTTTTATATTCTATATTTATGGTAATAACTATATATTATTGTTTTTGGTGTTGTTATTAACCCTTTAAAAGAATCACCAACAATAATAAAACTATTAATATAACAATAATAATATAACAAAATTCTATTTTTAGAATATCTTATAAACTCGTAACAATAGTGATAAAATAAGATACAATTGTTGTTTTTTTTTTTCTTTTTTTTTTTTGATAATAAAAAAAATAGAAATATTTTATTTAAAAAAAAGCTAAATTACCTTTTTTATAAAATTTTATTTATTTTTTTTTAGTAAACTTCACATCTATTATTTAACCAAATACATGTAAACTTTGTTAATTCGTTTAAAATACAATCGAATTTACTTAAGGAAGCACAGTCTATAATAGTAATGAAAAAGAATTAGTAATGTATGAAAGGGCACAACATAAAATTTTTTAATTTTTACATTTCTTTGAAGCTTCAAGTTGAATTTGTTGGGTAGTTTCAACAGAGTAAGCAACGGTGAAAACTAAGAATAATAAAACTACAATAGATAAAATATTTCTGTTAACTGACATTGTGGGTATAAAAATTTGTAAAAAATGAAAAAAAAAAAAAAAAAAAAATGCTAAGATGGTTTTTGTTTTGAAAAAAAAAAATTTTAAAAAAAAAATAAAATTATAAAAAAAAAATAAAATTTGCCTGGCATCCTGAATCAAATTGATATTTTAAATTTTGATTATAATAAAAATAATAAAAAATAATGATAAATAAATAATGATAAAATAAATAATAACAAGAATAAATAAAACCCAATAAAAATCTACAATTAATAAATTTTTTTATTTTATTTATTATTTGTAATAATATATTATTTGTTTTTATTTTATTTATTATTTTAAAAATAATAATTAGTATTTTTTAAATATTAATTGCTATTATAAATAAGAATTATAGTTTAGAAAAAATATGGAGCTACAAAATATCTGACACCAAAACCGATACATGAACATAAACCTTGGAAAATTAATAAATAGATGCAAAGTTTTCTTTCAGATAATGGACCGGTAACCATTAATAACAAGTTAATAATTGTTAAATTAGTTGGAATAGCCTCCATTTTGTCGGTAGTTGGATTATATTTTGGTACTCTGTGTCTTGGACATGGAATAACTCCGAATAACTGTGGGGTCGAATAAAGGAAATTTAAAATCTAAAAAATGGCGCAAATTTAAAATGAAAAAAAAAAAAAAAAATAAATAAAAAATTATTAATAAACTTTTAATTAACCTTTATATACTATCAAGGCTACTTACTTGTGGAATAAAGAATAATAATAAAGTTTTACTGAAATGACAAAGAATGGCAACAACAGCAAAGCACATACCAGAGAAATATGTAAAAGTATCACCGACAAAAACACGAGATGGATACCAATTATAGAATAATAAAGAAATTGCTGTGAAAAGGAAAGGAATCATCAAGACCAATGAGAAGAGATGTTGTTGTGAATTTGGTGAGATGGTAAGTTCGATTAAATTGTGAACAATAATTGAAATTGCAATTACAACTGATTGACCAACCTCCAAACCATTAATACCGGCTAAAATGTTAATTGAGTTGGTGCAAAAGATTGCTAACATTAACAAGTAGATACGATAAAAAACACCAAGGTCAAAAGTCATACCTAACCATTCTCTTAATGGAACTGGGAAATTAATATCTGGAACGACAACTGATGTACCACCTGCATAAGCTACCAACAATGGAAGACTTGCAAATAATGGTAAAACTAACTTGTATCTCCAACGTAAATTTAATACATCATCACCAAATCCTAATAAAATCATAAAGCAAATGCTTGTTAATGCTGCATTATATTCACTTAATTGAACTGTTTCTGGGAATGAAAACCATTGGAATAATTGAAATAAAATAACGCAAACTAAATAAACAACTGAAACACAAATACCTAATGATTCGGGTCTAATAAAAAAAATTAATTTTAAATATTATTTTATAATTATTATTGTTTTATTTAATTATTATTATTATTAATGATCGTTTTAAAAAACTATCCATTTAAACATACATTTTTTTACCTGAATATTTTGGATTGCCTTTTTTATTTAAATCCATACCAGTGAGGTTTGCTGTTGATGTTAACTCCGAAATTGTTGGAATTAATCTATAAGTTAATAAACCTGCACCAAATGAGAATATACCACTTTGTATAATAATCCATTGTAATGATAAATTTGGTAAATTATATAGTAATACAATTGGTGGCAAACAACAAATACCAATAAACCCTATTAAAGATCTATCAAACATTTTATTTTTTTATTGTACCCTTTATTAAATTATTTATATAAATAAATATTATTTTTAATTTTAATTTAAAAAAAAAATTTTAAAAAATTTAAAAAAAAAAAAAAAAATTTAAAAAAAAAAAAATCATAAAAAAATTTTTTTTTATTTTCAATCAAGAAAATATTTGACAATGAATTTACTTAATTTAAAAAAACAATTATTTTAAAATAATTCTTTAAAAGTACAATTTTGGTTTAAAACTTCAATAAAAATATTTTGTTTTGAAAATAATAAACATAAAATAAAATAAAATAAAAAATTAATAAATGGTTCTATTTTGGTAATAACATCGATAATAAAATTCATTTTATTATAAACCCATTATTGTGCCATTAAATTCAATTTTTAAAAAGAACACATTATTGTAATAATAATTATAATCATATAAAAAAAATAAAAAAAGAAATATGTTTTGATTTTTTTTTTCCCCAAATCGTTTTTTGAAAAATAAAAAAAAATAAAAAAATAAAAAAAAAAACAATTTTTAAAAAAAAAAAAAAAAATTTATTTTATGTTTATGTTTGTGTTTATTGCAAAATAATATAAATAATAATAATCAAGTAATAATTAATTTTTGTTTTTCATTTTATAATTTTTTATTTATTACCAATCATTGTTATTAACTATTGGTTTTCAAAAAAAAAAAAACAAAAAAAAACAAAAAAAAAAAAAAAATATTGAAATAATAAATTAAATTTTAGAAAAAGGAAATTCATAAGTTTTCATAGAAAAAAGGTAACTAATCAAAGAATTTAAAAAGCAATTTTATCAATCACTTCACAATCATTTATAACGATTTGTAGTTTTAAATAAGTTTCGATTAATCAGCTTATTTTTCATACACGTAAATGTTTATATTAAATAAATAAATAAAGTAATAATAAAAAAAACAAAAAAAAAAATTTCTTTTGAAAAATTTTTTTTATGCCATTCGGTTGCCTGGCTGATCATCCATTTTAAAAAATAAAATTTTATTTTATTTTTTATTTTGAAATAATAATCTTCATTTATTTATTTCAAATGGTCGTCGGGTCCTTTGGTATTTTAGATTTTATCAAGTAAAGACCTTTTAAAAATTTTTTTTTTTTTTGTTTGTTTAATTTCTGTATTTGTGTTTTATAAAAATGAAAGTGTGTGTTAATTTTTAAAAAAAAAAAATTTTAATTTTTAAAAAATTTTTTAATTTTCAAAATTTTTTTTTTTTTTCTGTAATTTTTTTTCATATTTATTTATTAAATCACAAATATTAATAATATTTCCTTTTATTATTATTATTATTATTTTAAAACAGGTTTAAAATAATTTAATAATCAAACAATAAACAATTAGAAATATAAATTAATAAACAAATAAATAAAAAATAAAAAATGGTTTCAGAAACAACAATTGTAGAATTACCAGAGGCAGCAATTGCACAACAAGAATCATCAGCCACTTCAACTGTTCAACCAACACAACCAAACTATTCATCTTTCCAACAAGTTAATAGTCAATCACCACCACAACAACCACAATATTATCAACCAGCTTATCATGGTCATCATCACCATCAACCATCTCATCATGGCCACCATCACCATACCCATCATCACCATAATGGAGGCCTCCATTTAGCATATGTTGGTCATCCAGCAGCTCATATTCATCACGGTCACCATGGTCATCACCATCAACCAGCATTTGTTAACCCACAATTCCCACCAAATTACCAACCATCACAATTAACTTCATTGTATGTTGGTGACTTAGCCTCTGATGTCAACGAGGTTGTTTTAAATGAACTATTCTCTAAAGTTGGTCGTAATGCCATTGCCTCAATCCATGTCTGTCGTGACTCTAATACATATAGATCACTTGGCTATGCTTATGTAAATTTCTATAATAACCACGATGCTGAAAGAGCCCTCGATACTTTAAATTACTCTATGATCCATGGTAAACCATGCCGTATTATGTGGAGCTACCGTGACCCAACCAAAAGAAAAACCAATGTAGGTAATGTTTTTGTAAAGAATTTAGAAAAGGCTGTTGACAACGCAATGTTATACGATGTATTCAGTTCATTTGGTAATATCCTTTCGTGCAAAGTTGAATACGAAAAAGGTATTTCAAAAGGTTACGGTTATGTTCATTTCGAAACCTCAGAGTCATCCGGTAAAGCAATTGAAAGAATTAATGGTACATTAGTACTTGGCAAACCAATGTAAAGTATTACAAACAAATTTTATTCATTTCGCACAAAATTAATATTAACATATTTTTTTTTTTTACCAATTTTTTAATAACAGTTTCTGTGAGCCATTTGTTGCAAAAGTAGAAAGATATAAAGTAGAAAATAAAGTATTCTTTAGAAATGCTGATGAAAGTGTTACACAAGAAATGATTCAAGAAGAATTAAGTAAATTTGGCGAAATTGAAATTTGCACTTTAAAGATTGATTCAACAGGTAAATCAAAGGGTTTAGGTACAGTCGAATTTAAGAACTGTGAAGATGCACAAAAACTATTGGCCGTTGAAGCTGATAGTATCCAAATTAATGGTAAACCAATTACATTTGATCGTGTTAAAAATAAAATCGAACGTGTAACAGAGCTTCGTAAAAAAACAACTGACCAAACTTTATTCTTAAGCAATATTGATGAATCAATTGAAAAAGAAACAATTAAAGAAGAGTTCTCAAAACATGGCGCTATTATTGGTTGTAAGATTGTTCAGGATGAAAGTGGAAAAAATAAAGGTTATGGTTTTATTACATTTTCCGAAGTTTCAGAAGCTAATAAAGCCCTAGAAGCCTTAAATGGTTTCACCTTTGGCAATAAACAAATTACTGTCAGTTTATCAAGCAACAAAGAGCAACAATTAACCTCACATCATGCCGCTCATCATGCTGCTCATCATTCGAATCCATCACATAAATCTTCAAAATATATTTTAGCTCCACATCCACACGCTGCTCACCATGGTCACCATGTTGCTCATCATGGTCATCATCCAAAATCTGTTCATGCAGTTGCCGCAGTAGCTAATGGTAATCAATATCCTACTGCATTTATTCCAAATGGCAATAGATATTATCATGGTACTGCACCAATTTATACCCAACCATCTTCACCATCACACATTTATACCCAACCATCTTCAAATCCACGTTACTTAAAATCTTCCTCACCATCAACACCATCAACATTTAAGAAATCAAATATTAATAGTAATAATACATCAAAACCAACCAATGGCTTATCAAATGGCTATAAAGGTAATAAACCAAGAAATATGAATGGTAAACCAAGATTTAATAAAGATAATAATAATAATACTGAAAAATCAACAACCCCAGTTGTCGAAGAGTCAAAATCAATCGAAATCACCTCAACTACTACCACTACTTCAACTACCACTACTACTTCTAATTTAAACATCACTCTCGAATCAATTTTAAAACAAACTCCAGAGGAAGCTACTGAAACCCTTGGCTCAGAAATTTATAATTTAGTATTAGCAAAATATGATAACGATGCTTCATTAGCTGGTAAAATAACAGGTATGATCATCGAATCCGTTTGTGAACCAAAAGAATTATTTTCTCTTATTGACTCTGGCAAGATTCAATCTAAGATTGAAGAGGGCAAAACCCTTTTGGAAGGTAATACTCAAAATTAATTATTAATTTTTAATAATAAAACCTAAAAAAAAAAAAAAAAAAAAAAAAAAAAACTTTTTTTCTTTTTTTATTTTTCGTATTATAAAAACCTTTTGATAAATTTTTTAACCGATACTTTTATTATTTTATTTTTTTTTAATAATATAACATTATTTTAATTTTTATTTTTTTATTTTTTATTTTTATTTTTTTATTTTTAATTTTTTTTAATTTTTTTTTAATTTAGATATCTAATTTTTTTGGGAAAGTATCTATTATATCTTTACAGTTTTTTTCAAATAAAACTTGCTGTCGACACAAAGTTAAAAATGGATCCTAAAAAAAAAATAAAATTAAAAAATTAAATAAAATTAAAAAATTAAATAAAAATAAAAAATAAAAATAAAAAAAAAAGTTTTCGTATATTTTCTGAAAATACCA